TTTTTTTTTTAAAAAAAAAGAAGAAGAAGAAATCATAAAGCGAAGAAGGAGAGCTACGGGTTTGTGCGGTCCAAAACAACTTAAAACCCAAAATAAAAAAAAAAATAAAAAAAGAATTAGAATAAAGTAGGGCAGAAGTGCTTTTGTATGCAAGTTGCAGAAAAAGTTAGTCCTTTTTTTTAAAAAAAAAAAGGGAGGAAGTGGACAGTTTTCTCATTAACACTCAAAAAAAAAATTTAACTTTACATATATTGCCTTCAATTGTTTTGTGTGTCTGGTGGACCCAAAAAAATATTGTATGTTGAAACAATGTAATTTGGTATTTTTCTTCAAAGCTTTTAAACATTTTGGTACTGCAAAGTTTTTACACATTTTGTTTGCATTATATTCGTTGTCCTTTAGAAAATCAAATTCTAACTTAACCTAAAAATGGCTAAGGTTTTACGATTACTGGGTATTGAATTGCTGAACCAGAGTACGGCCGTGATTTATCTTTTTCAGAAAAAGATTTCAAAGAAATGGAGTCCATGGAGTGCCACTTATTGTACCAAACAAACCTTGAATATATTTAATTTTTTGTTTGAATATGTAAATTTTGTATTTGTAGAAGAGCCTATAGATGAGAAATTCAGTGGATTGATAGAATTAAAGATTTCGGTTATCGGTCACATCACTCTGCACTTGACTACAAGGGAACATTATTGCAATAAATTTTAAGTGCTTTATATATATATAAATATAATGAGAAGCCAGAAAAGCACCCAATTGGGGGAATCCTTAACCCCAATTTTCATATATATATATATATAAAAGCCAAGAATGAAAAAGCTGAATGCTTCCCAAAATCATCTCTCTCCATCTTACCAAATGAAAGCAGGATACCCTCCAATAGGGTCAAAAGAATTTTATACACTTTGAAGAATCATAAAACCCCAGAAGCCAAGATTCCTTCTTCACCAGCAAAATCATCTCTTTTGGGTATTAATTTACAAGAAACAAAAATGTATCAACCATAATCTAAAGGAACCAAAAAGGAAACATGGACTAAAACTATAGGTCAATATAATTATATACTCATTTACATAATAACTACATCTTGTATGATTCTTCTCTGCCCCCAAGCGTGTCATCTTCATTGTGATCAAAATTAGACAGGAGAATGAAAGCATTAGATGCTTCTATTAGTGGCCTCTGTTTTTGGCATGGGTCAATATTCGATTGTCAACTCCAGTCAACAAATCACCCATCAACATGTATATAAAACTTAATAGAAAAGTAAATATATACATATATATATATATATATATATATTGTTCAAAAAAGGCATCCCATTAAGCAGTCACTAAACAAATTAGTCATTAAAACGAATGCATGGTGACTAAGCAAATTTTTAGAAGGCATCTGGTGACATGGCTGGTTGTGTCCAAATCAACTGCTTCCACTCTAGTTGCATGAGTGAAAGTGTGCCACGTAACCAGACTAATCATTCCCATTGTTTCCTCTTTTAATTCTCACTGTACATAAAACTATTCATCAATGGAGATTAGAATTAGGTATCACCCATGAGTCAAATTGCCTGGATTGCAGAAAGGGGGAGTTTTAAACTGGGAAAACAAGTTAACCGGTTAAACAACAATAACATGGTTTTAACAACTCTGCTTCCAATACTTTATGAAATTATAATCAACCATGATTGTAAAAGATGTATATTTACATACAGCACAAACTTTCTAAAGCTCTGAAATGAACCCAGATGATAATTTTATCTCCTTGATGCCTGTACTTCACCAATCATGGTAAACTTGGAAGCTGCTTAATAATTTCTCATGGGTCATTTAGGAGATGATGACCCTTTACCTAAATTGGATAATGTGTTGTTGAGAATGCCCTGTGACAACCACCAACTCATTCATACACCCAAACACACAGTGGGAATACAAGTAAACAAGCTCATGCCTTCTTGACAAATAGTCTGCTATGAATACCAAATCACAAAATCGACCTAACTGACCTCTTTTGTAGAGTTTGATATCTAAGGACTAAACCGAGTCATTCATCAACATATTCACATAAAAAAACCATCATATGGGAATCCAACATGACTAACATTGATTTTGCATATTCATATCTTGATCGGAAACCAGAACTCCCTCCATTTCATCCATGAATTCTACCGATGCTGCACAGACTGCATGTGAAAACCATAAGGCCCATGAATTTCACTGATGCTGCATAGACTGCATGTGAAAACCATAAGGTCCAAACTGAGACTCATGAAGAGTTCCTCTAAGCAGATTTTGCTCTTGTACCTTAAGTCCGTATGAAGAAATACTATAGAAAGGGGCCATGAAAGCATTGCCATTTGCTGGATTGAAAGCTGCAGCAGCTGCTCCTCCATTTTGTGGCTTCCAGTCAAATAGTCCTTTTCCCATTCCACCTACCTTTGGTTGCTGCTGCTGAATGCTTGCAGTCGAATGATTCGGTGATGAAGGTGAATTGTTGTCAGGAGAAACGGATTTTGAGTCTGGAACATTAACAGTTGTGATATCGTGGATGCTCGACCGTCTTTTATCCTTTCCTCCAGTGAGCTGCCTAATGAAGTACTTTTGAGCATGACTGGCAACCTGAGTCGGAGTCCTAGTAGTCACGAAATTTCTTGATATGTTTCTCCAGTCCCCTTTACCATACTTTTTAAGGCCAAGAAGAAATTGCCTGGATAATCAGAAACCAATCATAAATTTCTGGCAACACTAAATATTTGAGAATTATACATATAAACCAACTCGTGGGAATTCAAATAATCTGGAGGATCTAGCATATCCGTACAGTCACTTTGAGTTAATTACTTTAGCATCTAATCTAATCTCAACTAAGCTTTTCATACCAACTTCCTACAATCCAATCAGATTATCCACCTCAACAATCAGAAAAAATTGACTATACATGTGAAGGAACATATAGAGTCCACAGTAGTCGTACACCAAAAAGTTTTTATTTCTAATTATAACCCAACTGAATCCATAATTAGCAGAGAGAAACTAGAACAACATTCAGAAACATGTAAATAGTTACCTGTGTTCTTCTTCAGTCCAGGGTACTCCTTTCTTTCTTTCCTGATCAGAAGGTCGGATTCCGGTGGCCCTCCTCCCGCCGGGACTATAAAATTGTCCCAACCCATCAAATCCATGATTGCTGCTAACCAACTCTAATTTGAAAGAATCAGTGGTATAGCCAGGAATTGGGATCAATCCTGCCTCTATGTCACTCACATCCTCCTCTAATTCCCTGTACTGTTTGATCACATCTCCCACTGTCTTCCCCGGAATCATGGCTGCAACCTTAACCCAACGGTCAGGCGTATCCTTGTCGTAAAAAGCAAGAGCATTTTCGAAGCGTTTGTTCTCTTCAGGGGTCCATCTTGCACCTTTGCTTTCTTGGAATAACCAGTTGGAGTTCTGCAGATAAGAAGCTGGAGACAGAATTTCAATTCCTCTGTTCATCATTCTGGTTATGTATACTGTGGAGTTTTGCGAAAAAAATCTCGCATGCCAAAGATGATTTAGACAATGGACAACACTCTCTCTCTCTCTTTGAATGATCAAAGAGAGAGAAACCCAGAAAGAAAATGCAAATAAGTGGGAGAGTTTTATGGGGAAAGTAGCATCAAATCAACAAGCATTTCAATGGAATCTGAGTAACTTTTGTTATTTATTTTTATCCTTGCACATAAGTATAAATTTGAGGAATCTAGAAAAGTCCCCAGCTTTCCGAAACCCAAGGAAAATTCGACAACCAATAGAGAAAAGCAGATCTCAAGTGTAGTCCAATTATAAACCCTAGACCCTAATATCAGATCCAAATTCACACGAACTTTAAAACCCAAAACAAATTAAGCAAAACCCAGATAAAATTTCGTAAAACCAAGCAGAATTCTTGAGAAATTTTGGAGCTTTTCAAGTTCAGAAAAAAATAAGACTGAGGACCTCTCCAGTGCAAAAAAAACAGAGAAGTAAGTGAAAATCTCCAAGACCCAAATGAGAAGAAACAGAGAATTTCTAGGAGAAAAAATTTGAGAAGCTATTTGCTATTGTTGGTTATGGAAGGTAAAGCAAAAGCAAAAGCAAAAAGCAAATGAAAGCAGAGTGTATGTATCTGTGTATGCAAGGGAAGAAAGAAGAGTTTATGCATAATATGCATACGAGAGAAGAGAGGAAATAATGAAGAGGAGGGAAAAAGGTCAAAGATGTTGAGTCGTGATTGGTTGAAATGCCAAAATAAATGGTCAAGTTGCAAGAGAGGTGACCAATCAAACGACAGAAAATGAAAAAGGAGAGTTTGCTATTGGCCAATTTTGTTAAGATGGCAGTAGGGGGGCTTTTTGGTAATTGTGTGCTCCAGGTAAATGACCTCGCCAATTGCGACCATTCAGCTGTAGCACGTGACATGTTTGTGCTCCTCGACATATATTTTCATACCTTTAATTAATTATTTTTATGTTTTTGTTTCTCATCAACCAATTCCTCTACAATTATTATTATTATTATTTTCATCTCTAAATTAATAATTTTTTATTTTTTTATTTTTTTAACTATTATTGCCTATTTGGGTTGTAATTGTTGTAAGAATTTCTTTAGTTTTTTGATGATATGATAGCAACTAAAAGGTTACCTAATTTTTTAAATGCATATAATATTGTAAATAAATTTCCTTTTCCATTTTTTAAAAAACTTCAAATTTTGAAATAATAAATATTTTATTTTAAAATTAATTTTAAGGAATAAAACATTATTACCATTTTTTTTAATAGAGATTAATGTTATTTGTAAAGAAAATTCGAGCATCTCGAGGTTTCAACTTTTCTTTTCCTTCAAATTGTGGAAAATAAAGAGGAAGAAAAATGATTAAAATTTTTAAGTATAATTATTATTTTTTATTTTTTATTTTTACGTCCTAAATTTTTATATTATTAGCAAATAGTATCATTAACTATTTTCTTATAACTAATAATTTTTTATAAAATTAAATTAAATAAAATACTAAACTCCTTTCATTTTTTTTTAATTTTTGGTTATTCAAATAAATAAAACATATTTTATTTTGTATCTATGGAAGTCTAATTTTTTATTTTCTGTTCATTTATTAATATTTACAAAAATATAATGTAAACTTGTAGAACTTAGATGGATAATTCTATAAATTTAAAAATAAATATTTATTTTACATTAATAAAAATATCTTTCTATTGCATATGATTAGTAACTTAATACATCATTTAAATAGGTAAGTAATATTATATCAGATAACATTCTATATTACTTATATATTTAGCAGATAGTCAATCATATGATTTTAAATACATACTTAGATTGTTAAATAATATAACATATTTTTTATTTAAAAAAGTGATTTAAAATATTAAATAAGTCATTAAAAATATTATGTATCTATGTAAATTATTAAGTTGCACTAGATACTATTTAAGTAACTAAATAGTTTAAGTTACGAATTAACTAAATAGTTAGGTAATATTATTTATTTACCTTAAAAGCATAGTAAGAGCTTAGTTAGAAGGTGGTACCAATTCCATCGTATTTTTATAAAAGATACAAAAATATCATTAAGAAAAATATTAAATTATTAAAAACTTTTAACTTAATGTACATATTTCTCAAGCACTTAAAGGTAATATTATTTTTCTACTTCAATGGTAAAGGGGCATCTTAGGTAGAAGGTGATGATTTGATCATAACAATTTCATCATATTTTTCAAAGAAATAAACACAAAATCTCATTAAGACAAATATTAAACTACTAAAAATTTTAAAATAAAATTTCCTAAATTAGTGATAAATTAATTAAAGTTCTAATTGGATAAAACTCAACCAACATTATTGTTAACTAATTAATTAATTAATTAAGCGAAGGTATTGAAGTGCCAGTCAAAGGAAGACATATTTTGTAAAAATGAAGGAGAGGAGGTCTAAGGGTAACAAATTAAAATAGGAAAACAAAAATCCAAATATTATAATAGATTGAGATAAAAATAAAAATTTATAAATTATATATTCAAATTATTCAATACAAACTCAACAAAAAGTCCATCCAAATTTGCATCATATGTTTTTATAATTAGGATTTTATTATAATAAATGGGTTAGTTTAATAATTTTAAAAATAAAGTAGTACCATATGTAAATACCTTATATATATATATATATATATATATACATATATATATGATAGTTATATGTATAGAGAGTTTGCGGAAAAGACAAGGTGGGAATTCTACTCCTATCCTCGTTCTTACTTTTATTCTCAATTTAAAATGTAACGGCCCCAGAAATTTAAAATGAAATGTGTATTAAAAATATCAAATGCGGAAGCGAAGTCAAAATTTCGATTAACATCCCTTACACTAAAACCAAAAATGTGCTCACAAAATATAAAAGATCAAACTAACTAAAGGAGAACTCGAAAGTAAAAGCTATGAATATGACTATGGAGTCTTCAGGCGTCCCCTTCGTCATCCTCCTGCGGAACGGGCTCGGGAACAATGTCTTCCTGATCTGAAATGATTAAATAAGGAATGAGCTACACTAGCCCAGTAAAGACATCACGATATCTCACCATCACGGAGATAAAGGTGGGTAGAAAACACAAAAAGACCAATGGAGCATAATTTACAACAAATCCTTTTGCCAATAATAAATCCTTTACCATCCACTTATCTCGGTGAAATTCATAAAATAATATACGAAAGCAATAACATTATCATCATCATGAAATCATATAAACTGTATAACATAATACTTATCACGCCTTTTGTAATTCAATCATTACACAACATATTTTCCTCATTTACCAGCCTACTAGTATCCATGGGGATCCATAGGGGTCCCGCTACCCGTTAACCCTTAACACTTGAAACCAGATTCTAGGGCCGTCCCCATACCCCGTCCGGTATGGGCGCCAAAACTATAAACCTCATTACCCCGTCCGGTATGAAGGTGAAACGGGCCGTCCCCATACCCCGTCCGGTATAGGCGCCAAAACACATAAGGTCTCCATACCCCGTCCGGTATGAGAAACCACAATCCCGGTAGGGTTCCCTACGGACTCGGTCCGTCCACCATCTCCCAGGATATCTAGTCAGGCTGACCACATTATACAATTATCAATTTACATAATCTTTCATTCTCCTTTTCCTTAGTCAGCATCATCAAGTCACACACAAACAAGCAAAACAGTAATTTATGCTTAACAAGACAACATACAGCATCGGTTACTCAGTTATTCAACCCATAATAAATAAAACAGTAAAATATGCACATGAAACTATGAAATAAAAACATCAGACCTCATACTGCATTTAAAACTGTAAAATATGCCAAATAACAGTTAATCGACAACCACACTAGACTCGGGCTCCATTAGCGACCTTAAGCAATTTCACTCATACGTTAATTAAAGAAATACCGTTTTATCATTTTTGAACTTTAATACCGTGATAGGAAATAGGGTGAGGGGTCCTTACTCGTTTCGGAGTCCGAACACGGCTTCACAGTGCGCCTACAGGCTGTCCCTAATTTTTCCTGAATTTTTTCTGGGGAACTGAAACGCACTACTGGTACCTGCACGTGTTCCAAAAAATCCCAAATTAGGCCCAGGGCCCCTTTTTGGCCAATATCGCAATTCCGGCACGGCGGCTCCGCCGTGCTCCGGCGACGGCGGCTCCGCCGTGCTCCGGTGACGGCGCCGCCGCAAGCGGCGGCGATTCGCCTCGGTTTGGCCGTTTTTGGCCGAATTCGGCCACACTTGCATCGGTCCTTGCGATAAAACAACCCTAGGGCCCTCGGGGGGCCAAACAATTACGGAAAACCGAAGCTTACCGGCGGCGGTGCTCTCGGGTGCGGCGGCTCTCCGGTGAGGTTCGTGTTTTGGTGATTCGGCTTCAATCAACCTGTAGAGAAAAGAATGGTGATCCCGGTGATATAAAAATTGCATCAAACGGAAGCCGGGAAGGGCCTCATCGGAGGCAAAAATCGAGGAGGGGCGCGGTGGCGCCGCTGGGTTTCGGCCGTGTTTTCCGGCCGTTTAGCCAGAATTTTAGCTCCGATTTGGCCACAGGGGAAATCAGGATGGAAAAACGAGTCGGGGTATGAAATTTACCTCGATCGGCAGTCGGAAATCTCTCCGGTGCGGCGGCGGGTGGCGGCAGCCGGCTTCTCCGGCGTCTGGTTCGTCTTCTCCGGCGAGGGCAGGCGGCTAGGGTTTTTGTGGTCAGGTGTGGCGGTTCTATTTATACCCTTTTGCCTTTTGATCTCAGCCGTCCATTTTGATTTAATCTGGGCTGTCCGATCGCGCGTACGCGGATCGCCAACGTGGCCCGTCCCTGGTCGACGTGGTTTTGCCACGTGGTAGGTCCTGGTTGGCCAGGACCTGCTGACTGGGTCTGCTGACGTGGCTGCTGACGTGGCACTCTTTTTTTAAAAAAAAAAAAACCTAATTAAAAATATTTAATAATAAAATAATAAATTTTTTTCCAAATTTCCGGGCGTTACATAAAATGGTGCCAATAATTTTTTTTTCTTCTCTCCATTTAGTCAATTACCAAATGCGGGTGTTTGCTTGTCCATAAGAATACTTCCCGAAGAAACTAAATTAAGTTGTTATCTCAATTACTTATAAATGAATGCAATACAAAATTAATTTATATATACACTGAATTAGTGTTAAAAAATCATATGTATTTAATAAATATGAGAAAACTTGAATAATAAAGTATAGAATTCTATTTTTAACTATAATAATATTGAGTTCTATAGCAAAGTATTTTATTTATGAACATATTGTATAAGATGACAATGTTAATTTTTATTTTTATTTTGTCAAATATAAAATGAATTAAAGACTCAAAATGTAATTTACAAGATCTTCAGGGATGGACCTCATAAATTTTCATTTTTAAGAGCATATTTTATTACAGTACGGACTTCTTTATTTTTGTACCTTGGGGTCCATCCAATTAAACAAACTATGAAATTCACAGTTAATGCCCTAATTTCAAATACATTGTGCTTGAGTCTCTAATTTAGGGCATCTAAGGTCTCTATTGCTGCTTGGATAGCTCTTTATGAATCGCAAAAGACTCAGATGTGATAAATGACAATTTTTTTAGCCTATTTAAGGATAATAAGATCGTCTCCCATGCTTTTGTATCGTCA